ACAGTGTTGTGTTAGTTTCTGCTGTATAACAAAGTGAATCAGCTATATGTATACATATATCCCCATATCCTCTCCCTCTTGCACCTCCCTCCCACCGTCCCTATCCCACCCTTCTAGGTGGTCACAAAACATGCATCGGCAGGCGGACTCTCAACCACTGCGCCACCAGGGAAGCCCTGATAGAAATATTTTTGATAATAATATTAGGAGCCACGGTGGAAAAGGGGGCTGATAATTTGCTGCGAAGTTCAAGCAAGTTCAAGAGGGAGCATGTCTTCATGATAGTTAGGAGTCTGGTCGCATAGGCAGGCATAACCCTGGTGGTAATACCTGCAGGAAAACTCCTATTTAGCCATCAAGACCCTGTTCAAATGCCAAGCTCCTCTGTGAAGCTTTCTCTGACCTCTGGTGTGAATTGTTTCATCCTTACATTGACTTAGCACTTTCTGTGTTTCTCTGTTAGCTCTTGTCTCACTGTATGGTAGCTATCTATTTGTCTCTCTGTTTCACTAAATTGTGTCATCTTTGAAAGTAGGGCATTCTGTTATTCATCTTTGGATCTCCAGTGTTTAATATGGTACCTGATACATACTCAGTGCTCTAGAATAGTTTGCTTAGAGGAGGCATGAGGAATGGCCAGCATTTTGTGGCTGTGGAGCCTTTGAAATATGGGTTTACTATTGCGAATTAACCATGGTTCTGGGTCCAACTCTCGGCCTGGAAGGCCAGGGCCCTTGATTCTGTCAGCACACCGTGAGTTGATATCTCTCAGTGGTGGCCTTCCACAGCAAAGATCTCAGAGATATATTAGCAACTTATTATTTTACAGTAGGATACAGGATTATTAATGTCAACTTTTCTTATATTTTCTCTTATTATAGGTAGACTTTCATGGGGAACCTAATTAAAATCTATAGGGATACATCTGCCACAGGATAAAAGTACTTGAGTCCTTGGGCCCCAAGGGTTACTTCTCATCCAGGCACTGCCATCTTCTGATTCTCTGTACTTCTCTGATTGCATAATGTAGTCTGTTCATCCCTGGTCCGCTCACAAATATTCTCCAGTCAAGATAAACAGTCGGTAAATTACAATCACCTTGGCAACTGTGCCTTCCAGAGGTTATACTTAGGTCGACATGATTGGATGTGTGTGTGTTTCCTCAGCTCTTTAGTCACAGATTCCTTGGTTTCATTTCCTAGGTGGTTAATTACACATTCATTATATATGGATTTTTTTCTGGCTTAACTCTCATAGGACAGCCTTATAACCTTATTTCCAAGCTTTTGGGGGTGGGGCACCTCACTGTCACCTCCCTTACTGCCAAGAGTAACCATTTCTAAATGTTACAGAAACTTTGCAGTATATGTCAGTGTCATTCTCTAAAATGGAATTTTTAAGACCCAGGATATAAACCAGAAGAAACTGGATTTGTGTCTTGTATGCCAACTCGTGATCCTAATATGTATATGCTGAATAGATTTTTCTAATTTTTTTTTTTTTCCATAGGCATTATATCTGATAGCCACTAATGGAACCCCAGAGCTCCAGAATCCTGAGAGACTGTCTGCTGTATTCCGTGACTTTTTAAATCGCTGTCTTGAGATGGATGTGGATAGGCGAGGATCTGCCAAGGAGCTTTTACAGGTGACAATGAAACAGGACAGTTACAAAGAGAGAGTCATTATATTGAGCTTTTCCATGTCAATGTGTGACAGTAAGAGAGCGCTGTCAAAAGAGGTCTAGTTCGAGTTAGGCTCTAACCATTTGATCTGAGGCCACAGGCACATAAGTATAGGCATGCATCTGATACGTGATTGATTGGCATGTTGCCTTTCTTCTGAGAACTTGGGAGTTCAATCTGTAACTCTCTTTTATTCTTCCTGGAGTCTTATTTTGCAAGGGAAATAACAATGCGAACCTCTGGTGTTGCTGTTTTGTTCTAAACTTTACTTGTGCCCCTGGATGCTGTACGCAGGTGCTCTTGGCCGGAGGTAATTGTCTACATAACTATGCAATTATTTCCATGGCATCTGCTACTCTAATGCTTTACTGGTCAAAGCCCCTTTGCTTGTGATGCCAAATGGCAGGCACCTGCTTGCCTGGGTGAGTACCATCCAGTGGTGAGTGCCTCTGTAACCATTTGTCCTTTTCATGGCTCTCAGGGATTAGTATATATTATGGTAATTAGTACCTACTTTATACCAAATTCTTTACAAACGTTATCTCACTTAATTCTTACAACTCTCTAGGATAGGCATTATCCGCGTTGCAGATGTAGAAATTAGAACTCACACAGCTATTGAGTGGCAGAACGTGGATGTGAGCCCTGGATTGTCTGGCTTTCTTCCACACAAACCAATTTAGAGGGAAAAATGCATTTATATTGATAAAGCAATGCATGCCCAGGATTACACATATAGCTTCACTGTTGGGGACTGACTGTTCCTTGGGGAACAAGATAAAGATCTGTAATAGCCAAGAAAAGTGACTGCTTGTTCTCCCTGATTTTGAACACGTAATCCAGTTAAACAAAAGGCATAAATCTTGGTCATGCAGAGTGTTAACCATAGAGTCAGTCGGTTTCAGGCCAAACAACAAAAAGTTCCTGTTGCTTCTGAACTCCCTCCAGAGACAGCCACACCCACGCGAAAATATCCCATCCCAACCCAAATCAGATCTGGGATAAACCAATTTGGAGGAACTGGGGAAGCTACCCCTTGTCTTCTCTGCTACCTGTGAGCGTTTCACAGGCTGTCATGGGGTCCGAAAATGTCAGATCGGAAATAGCCCTTTATTAATCCCCCCATTAATACAGCCTCAAATTATAGATGAAAAACTGGAACTCTTGAATGCTTCTTTTCCACATCTTTTCACCCCTCCCACCACCCGACATACACATCCTGGTACACACTCCTATCATGTCTTCTTCCAAGGATGAGTGAAGATACAGGCTCTCCGAAGGTAGCTATACAGTTATGTAGGTAAGTGAATCAATTATCTAGTTAATTCCTTCCCCAGCAATACTTTTATCTGAAGCAGTCAGATTTCTGATGCAAAATGATATTTTGAGAAAACTGAAGACTTTGTTGCATGTTCTCGTTTTACACATATAGGCTATAATCTGTATATCACCTTAAGTCCATATAACTCCATTCTCTGACTCTAGCCCATTTTAGAGGTTAGAAAGGAGAGAGATACATGGCATTCTCACCACTGGAAGGCTTGAGAAAAGACAGAAGTGGATTTTTATGGAGCAACTTCTATTTGCAAGGCTTAAGGGCAGTGGGTGATACAAATCTGTTAAAGGCACGATTCCTACTCTTCAGAAGTTCACAGTCTCCTTAGGAACATGAAAAAAATGCAAGATTGTTTAGAGACTCAGTCAACCCGAGGCCACTCAGTCAACCCGAGGCGGCCGTTTAAACAGTAAATGTCACCGGTTGATTAGAGACGTACTTCTATGGGCTGTGGCATTCAGAAAATGTCTGCAAAAAGGAAAGAGTTGGGCTGGGCCTTGAAAGACAGATCAGTTTTAGATAGTTTGAGGGGAAAGGGGGAAGGAATTTCAGATGAAAGGATTATCACATGACCAAAGGCATGTAGGCAGGGTTCAAGGGAACAGAAACTAGATGGTGTAGCTGAAGTAAAGAGTTCCAGTAAGGAAAGCCGCAGGAGACAGGACGTAGAGAGCCTTGAACACCAGGCTAAAGGGTAGGGGCTGTAGGCAGTGGGGAATCACTGAAGATATCTGAGGGACACACCTGATGAAAGCTTTGTTCAGGAAGATGAATCTTGTGGTACGCAAGAAGAATTAGCAATAGAAAAAAATGCAGGCAGGAAGATAGGGGGTTTACTGTTATAATTTAGGATTAAGTTGATTAGGCCTAGGGAAAGCAAGAGATAATTGTAAAAGGCATTGAAAAGGAAGCACTTGGTAACTGATTGCATGTAGAACATAAGGGAGAGGAACACAAAAGTGACCTACCTCAGAATATCAAACCAGTGGCAGAGTTCAGCAAAAGCAGAAGTGATAGAGGATAATACTACAGTGGCTAACACTGATTGGCTTCAATGTAGCTTACGAGGAGCTGTCACTTACCTCATTTAACCATTGTGATAAGCAAAGGAGAGGACTGACCCTAGGTGCTCTGACTCCAAAGCCCCTGTCGCTTACATCACACAAGAGTACCCTGTTTGGTAGATTTGAACGTACATTTTTAAATGTTGAGTTCAAGGTGGCAGAAGGACATTCAAAAGGAAATATCCAGCAGGCAATTGGAGAAATAGGACCAGAATTCAGGAAAGACATCAGGTGACACAGTGGACATTTGGGAGTCATCTCCATAAAGCTTGGTGAGAGGTTGGAACCATGAAAAGGAATGAGCTCTCCAAGGAATTAAATTAGAAAAAGAAGATGATGAGAGTCAAGTTCTGGGAGGTGGGAAGAGGAAGTGAAATCAGGGAGGAAGATAGAAAGGGAGGGAGTAGTCAGTGAGCATGTGTGTGGAAGAGAATCGAGACAGTAGAATGTCACAGGCCCCCAAAGGGAACATCTCAAAGAAGAAAGGGACATTCACTTGTTTGAAGCACTGCAGAGGGGCCAAAAAAGAAATGGTGGAGACACACTATTGGGTTTGGCAGTTAGCAGGCCATTGATTTCAGGGTCAAGATCTTGAGTGGTCAACAGAATACACATTTTTAAGGATGAGGGCTGCTCCAGATAAATTCATCGATTTAAGAAAATCAGAAAGTTAGACTTGCAAACACAGCGAGATTTTACAAGACCCCTACTCTGAATTTCTAGCTCTGCCAGTCAGCTTCTAGAAGATTTCATGACACCGAAGACCGGAAACATCTGAAGGACAAAAGCTGGCACTATTTTTTAAATGATGTTTAATTGGATCCACAAAATACATCTTAATGAAAAAAAAAGACTCCTTGAAAGTGTAAAGTAATATACTTGTTGGAGGAAAGAATTCTAGTAATTCCTCTTTTTTTTTTTTTTCCTTTTTCAGCATCCATTTTTAAAATTAGCCAAGCCTCTCTCCAGCCTGACTCCTCTGATTATCGCTGCAAAGGAAGCGATTAAGAACAGCAGCCGCTAGGACTGCAAGCCTTACCCCACACCATCTCCTTCATGAGTAAGACTGAAATAAAATTCCACTGCAGGAAAGATGGAAGAAAAGACAGTTGAATGGGGTGGGGATTCTTTAACTTTCAAATGAATAGAAACTTCTTATAAGCCTTTTTCCTACTCCCTCAGATTATGTAATTTATTTGTAAGCCTGAATCGCAGCCCAAACAGGGCAGCAATGTCGAAGTGGCCGTAAAGTGGTCACTTCTACCGTGAAGCGAAAGAGCCAGTAGTGAATCCCCTCATTTTGTGCATTCACTTTGAAGAAAAAAGATTTCTCAAAGATGCACACTCCCTCTTCATAGTGTTGTGTTTGTTTTTAAGTTAGAGAGTAGTCCCTCTTGCATTCGAACCTCCTTCAAAACTCCTAACCCAATGTGATGTTTTTCACTTGCATTGTCATTAGATGTCCAGAAAAAAAAAAAAAAGATGTCAAAACGTTTTTTTAAAAAAAAAGAAAGTAAAAAACAAAAACAAACAAAAACAAAACAAAAACAAAACAAAACAAAACAAAAAAAAAAACCCAGAGCAAGTACTGTGTGAACATGTGGAAGTCCATGCCCTAATAGAGTTGAAATTTTTTATTCTTCTATAGTGGTGGCTCGGTTTGTGTACCTGTTTTTCTGCATTTGTATTGGAAAAGGTTTCTTTTACGACATTTTCCAAAAGCAGAGAGGAATATGTGTGTTCAGGAAGGGCTTTTAAAAACTCTATGTCTAAAAGTTCAAATGGTGAAATCTTATCACATTTTCATGATGATGCTTAAGAGGTAGTTGATTTATCATTTGTATAAACCAGCTCGTTCATCTTCATGATACCTGAAAAAAGACACACCAAAACTATGGCACTCCAGTTGGGTGAGTCCAGGTCTTAAACCTAGGAAATCCTGATAGGAGAAACCATACTTAAACAAAGACGGGACTTTCTCCAAGGAAGATAATATAAGCATGCAATACTGAAATCCTTGTTGGACAGTAAACAAAGATAACAATACCTAATTTAATCCTGTCTTGTCCTTGTGGAATGTAGGTAACTGTAAAATAGGCACAACAGGAGGAAACGGACCCATTAACCAACATTTGCTGCCGGTAAAAATTATTTGTCTTGATGATTTATAACGTTAAAAATTTTTTTAAAGATCTGGAGAACAGAAATATTGTAAGCACTCAACTCTGTAAGAAGTGGGAGGTCAGTGAAAACTACATCCCCATCAACATTAGGCTCTAAGTACTCGTTGCCATTTTCCCTATGTGTCACCAATTTCTGTTTCTGGATATGGTGTGTTCATACTTAGCCCTTTGGGCTTTTGAATTTTAAAAACATGTTTGTAAAGATCTTGAAGTTCTCCAGTGAAAAGCATTTGGGTTTGCAATCATATACCCCAGGAAATATTAGTCCAACTGAATTCCTTTTGTGGCTTGGGAAAAATATGAAAATTTGACTAGTATTTCACCGTGTATCAATTTATTAGAAATTCAACAGTTGCCACTTCCTGAATCTTCTGAGCGTAGAAAAATATCTGGAGGGTGTCTGCGTAGAAAAGGATATGCTTCTCTTTCGAGTATATTGTCAATTTTATAAATTCTGCATAGTTGTTTCTCTAAGCCTTTGAAAAGCTAGCAGTTTGTGCGGTAGAAGGCTTCTTGATTTGTAGTATGTCAAGAATCTGAATAGAACCTATCTACATCCAGCAAGAGAGGGAAAGAAATCAATGCCATGGGCCTCTCTCCTTCTCTGCCTAGGCACATCCGTCGATATAATCATCTATCCATTCCTTAAAATGAAAGCACTTTCTTTAGAGAGTTTCTGCTAGCCATATAGTGCACGTGTTTATGTTTAGGAGATGACACCACTGGTGGATTTCCTATTGTCTTCTTTGACTCTGAAATTTGGGAGGGGCTTGACCCCCTGGCCCCGAAAATGTCCACAATGGGATAAAACAACAAACATGAAAAGATCAAATGGTAATATTAATTTGAGGCATACTACGTTATACTTCACAAAAACGTGGCTGGGCCTGAAAATTTTAATGCCACACTGTTTTAATGAGAGAGAGAGAGAGAGAGAGAGAGAGAAGCCTTAATTTTGATTTCATTTAAAATTAAGTTTAATTTTTCATTCATAGTGCCAGGGAATTCAGTGAAATAATACCTGGGATGCAAATAGAATTCAGTACATTGATAACTATACCCTGCCAGGGGAGAGAGCCCCAAACCTGGTTGGGAAGCCCTAGTTATCTGTTAGCATCCCTTACATGTCATGAAGGCCTTTTTTTTGGTGGGGGGAGACCTGGACCAGTGACCCTTCAGGTTACTGTAGGCGGAGAAATGGCTGCTCTTTTATGCTTTCAATTCAGCATATCAACAACAAGGAGCCTGGTACAACTTCACCACAGCCCGTTACACCAAGATTTTATGGTAATATAATCCCAGTAGGCTTTACTCTTACAAACTTATATCTATGTAAATTTTAAAATGAGAACAGCTTCTAAAGACCCTTCCCCGCATTGGAGGTTATGTATATTTCTAATAAGTATTAGGAAGAAGCTGCTTCTCCTGCCAAAATGATGCTGAAGGACTCCAGGTGGTTAATAGTTTATTCCCTTTCCCTGCATTTTTGTTTTTAGCTCATCTTGACACAGGTGAGTCTATCCAGATCTTTGAAGTCGCTCGTGTGCCCTGAGATAATAAGGGCACATCGTCGAATGTCGATTCCAAAATGTCCTGAGGTAGGGATAGGGCAGTGGGAAAGTCAGGGAAGGGTGAGAAGCACAGTAGAGATTATTTATTTAAGAAAGAAAAGAACATTAATGTTGTAGCAAGGATCCGGTACGTTGTCATAATCCCCTCAAATCAGTCACTATGTTGGGTAATGACTTCGTTCTTGCTGATCTCGTCTGTGTGTCATTGTAAATATTTGTGTGTCTGTGTTCCATTTTGGCTACTGGATGGCCAAGTCATGTAAGAAGATTTAACTCAAGTATTTATTCTTTAACTGTGTTATTCAGATTTCTTTCAGGCTTGTGAATTGCACCCCAATGTTTGAGTTTAACCACCTGATCCCCACATCTTTCCCTCCCCTGTGAAGCACATTCCATTGCTAAAAGAAAAAGAAATATGAAATTGCTTCATGTCATCTGTGTAACTGTTTTGATAGTTTGAGATGTTTGTCTATAAAGGATATTTCTCAGCTCAAAGATCGTGTAAATAATTATATTCCTTTGCTCAGTGGGTTGTTTATTTCTAATGAGGCTGCCAGTTCTCAGCATCGATAAAATCACCTTTAAATAACATAAACAGGGAGAACAACCATGTAAAAATAAGTGTGCATATATGGGCAAAGCCTGGGAACACAGACAATTGAAATCAGTTGTGTTAGGGTGGCGGGATTATGTGGAAATTTTTTTCTTTTTAAAGTTTTCTTTGATATTGTTCTAATGTTGCTTTATAATAAACATCAGAAAGGGAACTATAGAAACAGAGAAAAGACGCCAGAAGCAGATGCCTTCTGGCCAGAGCCCAGAGCATGCAGGGCACAGATATTTGCTAGTTACAGTGATTCCATAGGCTTTATATTTGCCTGGGTGCTGAGGTTGGCACAGGCTTGGGTATGGCACGTGCTTTCTTAGGGGACTATTATCTACAAGTTAAAGCTAGGTAGCTGTCACTATTAGTACTCCAAAGGCGTCCTTCTGCTTTCAAACTGGGTGCCCCCCTCCACTTTAGTATGGCCTTGAGGTTTCTGTTTTGGTTACTTTAGATTGGAGGGGTGACCTTTGATCAGCCCCCTTGATAACATCTGTTTCAAGTATCGCCTTTCTGGATCACTTTAGCAGATTTTCAGGTTGAATCTTGGAAGGGCAGAAGGATCAAATCCCAAGCTCCCACCATTTCCTTTTCCAACAGGATACACTATCATTCAGGTAGGATTTTCTTTTAATGAACAGTAGGCAAGTCCCATTGATTTCAGTGGAAGTCATGACTTGCACTTAAAAGCTGACTGAAAACATTAAGACAAATATTTAGAACTGCCCTTGCCTGTTGGCATTCAGTCATACTCCTTTTAGCTTTGGCCTGAGATGGCAGCCTCTATGTACTTTCTGTCCGGCCTAATTATAGGTTGTATGCAGTAACTACCGTCATTTTTAAACAGAAAAGGGGAGACTCTCTACCCAAAGAGAGGAATTTCCTTCTAACTCACCAAAGAAATTGTAGGTGAGGACTTTTTATAATGCGGTAGTGGCCTCAGGTGTTAGTTTCACCAAGTGCAGACCTTATACCTAGAGAACCCACAGGCTTTTCTTTGGCCGTTCTCAACATAAAATCTACTTATGAGAGTCTTAACCCTGCCCTGCCCTGCCCCATTTAACCTCATGGTCCTTTTCTTAGCTACTTGCAGTTAATATTCGGTTAAACAAAGGCATGGCCAGTGATGCAAGCTACTCCCAGTCTCTGAGAAAGAGAACTGAAACTCAGCATTTGTAAATTGACAGTCTAACAAACAGACCCGGGATTTTGAGTGAACTTAACACACTATTCTGAACATGTATTTGCATGTGGATTGGGAAGGAAATAAATGGGACCTTGACAATAATGGGACTATTTTTCCTAAGAAAGAATTTTTCATCAAAAATGTGTTTCTGATAGAATCTTTCTGTTGGTCAGCTTTAATTTTTTTCCACTCCTTTTCTGATCCCACACTCCTTTAGTAACCAAATGAATATAAGCCGACTCCTCATTCATCGGGAATGTCTGTTTAATATTAAACAATATCTAACTGACTCTGCAAATGCAGGAACTGAGATAATCACTTCCATGTGCACACTTCTGTGTTCAAGTAGACAATAATAGCGAGGAGCATTTACTGCCACAAAATACAGTCACACTTGCAATATAAACTTACAGAAGCCAGTTAGTGCCCTCAGAGTCTCCTTTGGAAGCTGCCATCAGGCGAATGCTATCCCATAATACCAGTAGAAGGCAGGTACCGTGTTCACCTGATTTAGGACCTACAAGGAAATCAACAGCAATTAGAGAGAATCAGTCAGATGTAGTGGAAGAAGTACTAGCCTAGAAGTAAGGATACCTGGATTCTAATAAAGGCTCTATTCCTAACTTTACTATGTGACCTTGGGCAAGTCACTTAACCATGTCATGGCTGTTTCCTTATCTATAAAATAAGGGTATTGGACTAGATCTCCAAGGCTTTCCAAAAGCTACAACATTCTGTGGTACTGTAGATTGCCTTGTTAATTCATCCTGCTAAAGTGATGGCAAGTACCACATGCTTCAGCCTGGGTCTCTTATGTTGCAGTTAAGCAATAGAACTATGTAAGATGATGCCCAAAAAAAAGAAAAGAAAAAAAAAACCCTCGAACAAACGAAGCGAATAATACTAGGGAATGTTGATAAAACTTGTGGCAGCCTTTCAATTCCTTCACAGTTGTTTTGTTTTTGTTCTAATGTTCC